TTCCCTTTTTTAAATCAATTAAAATTCAATCAACAACAAGCAAAAATAACAATAACAGATTATTCATTCCGTAATTCACCATTCTGTTGGGGCAACTCAGGCAGGTGAGAGACCACCATCATCATCGATCGCCCCACTGTCTTCTCCAAGTTTTGCAGAACCAATGGCTGCAGACCACAGAACATAACACTCTTCTGTGCGTTTTGGATCAATCGCTGTCCTAGAGAGCAAACTATGTGCTAGTTATCAGACAGACTGTATTTACCATTAACTGCTGTCATGGCATATTCCTACCATTTAGAGAACTTATGTCTGTCCCAGATTACCCAAAGCCTGCTGTCCCACATTATCAATTATATTTGATTAAGTCGGACAACTAAACAACTCAATGCATGGACAGTCACTAAGCATGAAATGAATTACATTTTCTTCCTAAGCTAACCACTCAATAGGCCTTACAACGTCTTTAAGACATTCCTGAAGTTTAGCTAAGTAATTAGAGATTCATCAGGCTCCACAGATAAGTAAAGCTAGGTGTCATCTGCATAACGATGGAAATGTATGTGGTGCTTTCTGATAATATTATCCAATATAAACACTGTAAGCATACTACTTGATCACTATAATCAATTATAATCATTATTTAAAAAGCATTTGTATAGGAACAATTCTGTCTCAAGCTTTTTGATTCATATTCTTATTTGACCTTGGTGAATATCTATCGAGTGCGTTCACACCTGGCATGTGGCCCCATGTGCATCTTGTGACTTCCCCGCCATATATGTAAATAAGAGCGTACATCATTTCTATTCATAACAATGCAATGCGTGGAGGGAAGCAGCAAGGAGAAGAAAAGGAAATCAAAATAATACAGACAAAGCGTTCAAGGCAGAGCAAATAGCTTCTGTTGTTGTTGTCTCTTGTCGCTACAGTTTAAATGACACCTCAGGCATTGGTGTGTGTACATATTTCCGCTTGAACAGAGGACGTCAGTAGAGTAGGCGGTCCTTAAATGTGGTCAAGACCACATTTGCGTTCACGCTGCCTAAAGAATTTGGACACATGTGGCCCCAGACCACCTCGGATGTGATCAGATCGTGCGTTTGTAGCCGTACTTAGAGCTGTCCACTTGTGATGGGATCACAAAAACAAGGAACGTATGGCGTGCCACACACAGGGGTAAAAACAATACTCTGATGTGGTGACTTAACCGGTGTGCCGGGCATTGACTTACAATGCTTATTCCACCAGGAAGGAGAACAGAGTGCTGTGGATGTTCAAGTTAAGATATAGGAGAAACTTTCAGCAGACGCACCTGTGTGTAAAAGTCACTGCATGCCACTTTGCATATAGTCAGGGTAAAAACACTGAAGTCTAAATACCCATTTAAAAACATATACTTTGGCCACACAACATTTTAACACAGACAAATGGGAGAGAGGTTTGACTGCAGCACCAAAGTCCCAGAGAATGAAGGTTGTATCACACAGGAGACAAACGGCAGGTGTTGGTAGTAGTTAGTGGGCTATGCTGTTTGGTAACTATCCAGCAGCAAACAGCACAACTTCTAACAATTACTTGTTGATGAGGAGACTTTTAATATGTTAGCTGTATCAGCTTTGTGAACTGAGGCTGAATATCTCTCTTCTGCTCCTAGTAGCGAAAAACTTTTGAATCCATCTTTAACCTAATTATGCCATAATATCTCCTGCTGATACAAATGCAGACTCAGTCAGCTTGTCAGGGCATCAAGTCACATGACTTCTTTTAGTGTTAAAGAAGTCTGACCTTGACATGCCATTATAGTTATTCATTCACAATACCCACGAAATAATGAGTTTTCAGATTTTATGAAACCCACTGAGGTAAAAAGTGTTTGATGGAAAGGAGGGAAAATCTGAATGAACAGAAATTAAGTGGATGAAATAAGAAGAAGTAAGGAGAGCAGTGGAGTGGGGGTGGGGTATAGATTATAGGGTGAGAACGAAGCAGTGAAGACAGGCAAATAAAAACCACAAAATGAAGGAAGAAAGGGAGACTGAGATGGAGAGGGAGTACAAGGGAGGAGGAGGAGGAGGAGGAGGAGGGATGAAAGGATGAAGGGATGGATGATGGAGGGGTGGGGTGTGAGGGTTCTGTGCAGGAGGGTGGTTTTGGGTGACAGGCCTCATTGAATAGACCTCTATTCTCCCCTCTGCTAGCTTCTCTTCTCATGCAAAACAGGCCTGTTCAGCCTCCCAGCCATCCGTCACACAACAGAAAGACCATGGCAGGCCCTTTACGAGGCTCACATTCGCATTATCCCCACCCCCTCTCCACCCCACCATCTCTCAACCCTACTATCCGGCACCCAATGGGGGGTGGAGTGGGTAACGGGAGTATGTATGTGTGTTGGGGCAGTTGGGGGATGGTCGTGGGGTATCTTCGCCACCGAAAGTGCCTTTGGAAGACAGGCCACCTAGGCTGAGGGAAGGACAAAAAAAGCAGAAAGACATAACATGTTTTGAGGCTGATGGACATCATATTGGGACACCAGGGAGGTTAGGAGAGGTTAACCTGCCGGGGATGTGTCTTGTGTGTGTGGGTGTGAGAGAGAGAGAGAGATTATTCATGCACGTTGGTGCAAGGTCTATATTCATATTTACTGTTCATGCAGGGGTGGATGCTGCACATACGTGTTACATAAAGAAGATGTGGATATTCTCAAAATATTCAGACCCCTTCAACTTTAGCAAACCGGTAGATTTAATTTAAAATGAATCCCATTTACATTTAATGTGTCATTCAGACATTAACTGTAGATTTTCTGGTGGAATGAGTTAAAATCCCAAAGTTGTTTATCACATATACATACTGTACATCTCAGCTGCAGACACAAGAAGACTGAGGGACGGATGAATGCAGCCAAAGATTCTTAAAGAAAACCTGTTCCAAGGTGCAGGTGGCGTGAGACTGAGATGATGGTTCACCTTTCAAAGACATAATTTATTAAGATCAGTGTCCCAGCATCTGTCTGTAATAAACCACTTCTTCATCACATTCATTTTATCCCATGTCCTTTGGCACCAACTGATCAAAGAATATGAGAATAGAATTACAATTTTCCCTCACTGTGCACTTGATGACATTCCACATTCTTCACCCCCACTCACTCTTTAAAAGCACAGAAAATGAACAGAAAGGGACAGGATTTGGTCTTGATGACCAATTCCCATGAGAAATCCAGTCTTCAACTCCACATCCCACTGTGAAATAACAGAAACATGACAACTAGTGAATCTGACTGTGGACAGACTTTTTGAAGCACAAGTCTTTAGCAAAAATGTTTAGGGATTATTTCACAAGTATGCAATCATACTGCTGTGGCTCAGGGGTTAGAGCAGATACTCTACTGGAAGATCGGTGTTTCAGTTCCTGGCTCCTCAAGTTGACGTGGAAACACTCTTAGTCCATGCTGTCTTTTTACCATTTACACATGGAAGTGGACAATTCTCAGTTGTGCAAAACCCTAGATTCAATAGCAAAGTTTATAGATGACCAGTCATAAAATAATGTTTTTCTACAATATCATGGACTACAAGGTCAGGATACGTTGTGTTTGGTGAAAAAAAAAAAATTCCTCCTCCACACCTTTACTCTCTGCCTCTTCAAAAAGGACACATTACTTTCTGTGGTTTTCAACAGTGGCCCTGGATTTAAACTGTGACCTGTGGAATTTATGTCATTACACACACAGTCATGTCACCATGAGGACATTGCATTGACTTACAATAATTTTAGATCAAACATTCAAATAAAATATGTGATTCACATTCAACAGAGTAAAGGAAAGTAGAAGTTTTTGTGATGAGCTTTATTACTGTTCACGTGTGTGAAATTACATGATTTCAAAAATAAAAGCTGTAATTTACTTTCTTAATTTAGTCCATAGGCAAAGTGAAAAGGAGATTACACTGTAAACCAACTTGAAAGAAAAGGAGAACAGGAAACAGCAAAAAGAGGAAGGCGGATCAGAGATCAGCTCCGGATCTGATATGTCAAAATCTGTCACTATAAGAACAACCAGAAACTGTTTCACAGGATCAGACTTGATGAGAGCAGCTATGGCCAACAGTAAGTTCTGGCAGGAAGAAGAGAATCATTTTAGTTGTTTGTTCATCAACGGAAACATGGTCTCCGACTGTGACCATCTACATTTATGTTATTATTGTTTGAAGACACTCTGAGCATGCTCTGGTTTGCCAACTGCTGGAAAGGTTGCTCTGCATCATTCTGGAGTTTCCACCCATGGGGAGAGTCTTCCTCCAGTGATGACTTTCCAAGAAAGAACAATGTTTCCCTCTAGTGGAGTGAAAAAGTTTCACATTTTGCAAACTGAAGCACTGTGCCTGTTTCTGTTGAACTTCATGATGTGCAGCTACCTAACAAATCTAAGATGATAGAAATACAGCAGCAGTCTGTGCTCTTCATAATATTAAATTATCAAAACATTCTGTGTTTAACAACTATGGTGTCACGTTTTGTACTTTGTCTCTGTAAAAAATGAATCCTAAAGCCTAGAGCTGATGGCTCGATTTATATGTAATATATAATTGATCTATTTATTTGGATTCGTTGCCTGTTTGTGGTATTTTGTTGTAATTTAACAAAGCCAGATACTAGTTCTATGCTACTGTTGACCTGAAATGTTTTATTTGCTCCAGATCTATACACTCAGTGAGAACTTGATAAGGAACACCACACTGATACTGCGTGGCTCCTTGATGATTTGATCACAGCAGCCCTGCAGATTTGTCAGCTGTGCATTCATGTTGCCAAGATCCCAAAGGTTATACTGGACTCTGATGAAGTGGTGACTGATGTGGTCGCTGGACTCCGGCCAAATATACGAAAGCAGTTCAGTTTGAGAGGTTTTAATTTTTGGCATTGGTGCATTATCCTGCTGGAAGTATCCATTAGAAGATGACCACAAAGAGATAACAAGGTTGACAACAATAATCAAGAGTTTTTATCCTGGTGTTGAGGATAAGTGTTTATCAAGAAAACATTCCGCACAATCAAACACAAGACAGGATGGCTCCATGGATTTGAGCTGTTGACTCCAGACTGCGACGTCCATCTGCAGCCTCACCAGAAATCCGGATTCTTCAGGCACAGGCTGTTTTCAGTCTTCCACAATCCAGTGTTGGTGAGCCGGACTCACATTTCTCTTCTTGGCTGCCATAGTAGAACCTGACACGTTCTAACAGTTGACAAATCAGACTTGCTCCAACTAACATAAACCTCGTTTATTACAGTGGGTCCAGTTGCTAGCCTGTCAAAATCAGCAGTTGAACCAACTGTAATGCTAAAGCCATCAGAGCAGCAGGCATCAAGCACAAATACAACCTAGAGCCAGTGCTTTGGTCACCATTAAGATCGTGACAAACCAATAACTTGGCTACCAACCTTTCCACACAAGATTTGGCCCAAAGAGCTTTCATGCTATTCAACAATGCAGAGGCCAGTTTACACTGTTAAGGAGAAACCTTTATTTTTAAGACCATTAAAATAAATACTATACAGAATCCAATGTAAAAAAACTTAATACACTGTTTCTGTCTCAAAAAGGTTAACAACTCCATATATTCATTTTAAAAAATAGCACTGACCGTACACCCCCAGAACACAATGCTTCTCCTAAACCAGACACCACACCCCATGATGACAGGCATTTTAATGAGCGTAGAAGAGGGAGGGAGCAAAATCTCCATACACTCAATCATGGGTAGTTTGGTCCTTCATTTCAGAAACCCAAGCCTGCCCCCCGTTTCAGCAAGGTAGGTTACAAAAATTGACTGTCACCTCCATCGAAAATCGAATTCTGTAGCAAAATAAACCCTAAATAAACAATGTTGTGATGGAGTTAAGAGATGGAAATCCAACAAGACTGTGTCCACAGAACTCACCGTTGTTTTTGCTTCCAAACACTTGTGGTCTTCAGTCTTCAACTGAATGCTACTGGACAAGTGACTGTACAAGTCAAGCATTATGTACAATAGCAAAAAAAAAAAATAAAAAAATCAAAACAAAAAAATACAGCCATGAAACAGCATTAAAAGGATCAAAATGGTAAACAACTCATTCATGAATGATTTTACTATACAGGTCTTTTTATTGAATATGCCCTGTGTACTCTAGAACCCCCCCAAAAAACCTGTTCTTAACATGACCATGGATGCTTTTTAAGTACACTGAAGCTTGTTCGAATACTGATTTGGTCAAATAGAGCATTTCATTTAGATCAATGTGTCAAGTCCAAACCAAGTTACAGTCTAAACCACCAGTCTACAAGTGACTACCAGTGCAGGACCTGGTGGTGATGTCAGGCTGCAACCCACAGCAACATTTGACAAAAGCTTCTAAAAGTCTTCACTGCGAAAGTTACCAATTGAGACACGTCATTCACTTAATGTTAAACTTGCCAACAGTCAGAGCGAGGATCCTTTAAGAATGCACTTGTTTTGCACTAGTGGGAACCAGTTCCAAATAACTCATTTTGCAAAACTTCAACGTGGAAATGTTCGAATTAATGCTTGAAGTATTTAGGTGGCGATATAGAGTAACACTATGAAGAGCAGATGAAGTTGGTCAGCAATTCATCCTTCCTATGGCCAAAACTATTTCAAAAGGTTATGAAGAACAACTGCAATCGTCCTTCCTGTAGAATGTGTAGTCATGACTCAGATCATAAAGTAATGAGGTTCAATTTCTAAAATAAGCAGGGGGGGGGGCAGAGGGCACGTGAACTCTTCTAGATCAGATCAGCCACATTCATGGGCATCTCCTCGACGGTGGTGTTGTAGAACGTCTCAATGTCCCTTAGGGTTCGCTTGTCATCCTCAGTCACCATGTTGATGGCTACTCCCTTCCTGCCGAAACGACCTCCTCGTCCAATCCTGAACGTGAGAAGGAAAGAGAACGCTTCATTAAGGAAAGAACACCTCAGCAAATGCATCTGGAAGACAAAGTCAGGTGGACTCGAGAATCCTGGTCGTTCGATAAATATCGACCACGTAGCACTTTAAAAATCACAGAATTCAGCAGTTCTTCTCTGGCTAATTAAGAATTTAAGTGCAAAGTGTGTAGCTGCTAAGGTTTGCGAGAGACACTTATAACATTCAGACTGATGTTGTGGAATTAGCTGCTAAGATCATCAACTCTAGGTTTGATTACCAACTTGGTAACTGGAAATAATGACAGCCAAGAATTCATGACTGAGGAACAGATCTATTTTGCCTTTTGTCCATGACTAGAGGCAGCTTTAATAAAATAAAAAGTTACAGGTAACTGGCCTAAGTTTTAAGAAACATGCTTAAAGATAGCATTGCTAATTGGAATTTGATGCTGGCACTTTTAGTTGTGTTATTACCTGTGAATGTAGTTTTCCCTGTTGGTTGGCAGGTCATAGTTGATGACTAGGGACACTTGCTGGACATCAATACCTCTGGCCTGAAGTGAAACAAAATCATCATTAGTCACATAGCAAAGTCATTCAACAAAACAAAACTCAAGTTAAGACTCCTGAATGGGTGATAAAGAAATGAGCCCTTTCAGACTGAAGGCACTGTGCTAGTGTAGATTTTACACAAATCAACAAGTTTAACTCATCGTAAATAATGTGATCTGCCAATTAGTAGTGAGACAGGGATTTGAGCCCAGTCACTGTGGAGGGCAGATGCGCTTCTTTACCAAGGAACATTCAGTCCTTCACCAACACTGCAGTTGAGAGGAGAGGGAACCCTGGACTGCATTGTTGTTAAAGGCAAACCACATGCTAGTCGGGACAGACAAATTTATCTCACAAGCTCATGTTGCCTTCTGAACTTTTTTTCTTTCTTGATACAACCAATATTGATGGGGTGTGTTTTTGTACATACCAGCAGGTCAGTGGTAATGAGGACTCGACTGGAGCCGGAGCGGAACTCCCTCATGATCAAGTCTCTCTCTTTCTGGTCCATGTCACCGTGCTGAGAGACAAGATGGCAGGATACAGGTTTAGACAACATCAAACTGAGATTGGACATATCTTTAGTTATCAGGCTTGAGTCACACATCATTGCTTTATCGAAACAGATGCCATAAACTGCTGTTTGTCAGGGCAGCCCACCTTGATCTAAAAAAAAATCAAATTTGTCTTACATGCATTTTGGAAATGTGTGTAGTGCACAACAAAAAATACGTTTTTTGACATCATACCAGCTACAGTACAACTTTCATGTGGGGTGCCTGTAAATGTCAGGCTGTGAAAACAGCAACTTTTACATGGTGCATGCACTTGCATTTTCCCAAGGGACAATGATTAAAGCAAACATACCACCTCTGTGTACAACACATTGAGGCCAAGCCAGAGCAAACACATACATGTGAAAATAGTGATAACACCATTTGAATTGTATTGGTTTTAAGTATATGAATCATATATGACTCCTGTCCCAAGAGCCCTAAAGTTAATGTAGAAAGCAGAGGCTCTTACCAGAGCAGACACAGTGAAGTCTCTGGCATGCATCTTCTCAGTGAGCCAGTCTACTTTCCTCCTTGTGTTGATGAAGATGACAGCTTGTGTGATGGTCAGGGTTTCGTACAGGTCACACAGCGTGTCCAGCTTCCACTCCTACGGAATATCACAACGGTTCAAAAAGTTAAGAAATCCATACACAGTAGATCTTAAAAGCTTCAGGCATATTGCAGAGCTTTTATAAATCAGGAAACACATTTCTTCACCTCTTTCTCCACATTGATGTAGAACTGGCGGATACCCTCAAGGGTCAGTTCCTCTTTCTTCACCAGGATGCGGACAGGCTCACGCATGAATTTCTTTGTGACCTCCAACACGTCTGTTGGCATGGTGGCCGACAGAAGGACAACCTGCAAAACAAAACAAAGAGCTTATTAAAAAACCAGATTAGAGTCAACTCTACGTCACAAGATATTTTTCACGTTTTAGTGCTGCAGTGTTTGCAACACAGGTACAGAGAGAGGGTTAGTGATTAGGTATACCTGCCTCTTGCAGACAAGGAGACTGGGCAATTTGTTTTGGTGGTCTACCAGTGCCGTTAAGAATGCAAAGACAGCATGTAACTTGTAACTGATTCAGTGGGTTTTTCTGTCTCACCTGTGTGTTGCTTGAAAGTTTCTGGAAAATCTCATAGATCTGGTCCTTGAATCCTCGACTAAGCATCTCATCAGCCTCATCCAACACGAACATTTTGATGTTCTTTGAAGCTGTAAAAAAATAAAGAAGTAATGTTTCATTATTGTCTCTATATACATACGTGACTGCAATTAATCTGTGTATAGCACCAAATCACATTCAAGTATTTCAGTTGAGACCACGACAATACTTATTGTATTATGGCAATAAATGTCACATATGACAGAACAGGGGGACTCCAAGCAGCTAAGATATTGATAGATGTGTTTTGGGTCTGAGAAGTCTGACTCTGATAAGAAAATCATACATGCCAACTATGCACAAACTACAACTGCTGTAGTGTACATGTTGTGGAAATGTCAGAGGACAGCGGCATTGTGCTCCACAATGAAGAGAAAACAGCGTGTAGTCTTTTACTGGCTCCTTCAGGAGCTGTGTCTGGGTGAGTGGTGACAAGTTTCATCACCATACAGCTCAGGTTGGTGTCAGTGACGATTGGCTGATGCGACAAGAGTCACGTGAATTAGACACCCAAGTTCAAATAATTCAACTCAAGTATCAGACATGTTTGGGGTGCTGAATTCTGGTTTTCAACACCCCTTTTTTGTGTAATATCAACACGCTTGGCAACATGCAACTTGTAATCCTAAAACAATGCACGTGCATGAAACAAGAGGGCAATGAAAAGAATCTGCAATCATTCATACAATGTGGTGTGCAAAAAAACCTTGTGTGGCATTATTGCATATCCTTTTTCAGTGGTTTTGGACAGAATTTGTTCTACTAAAAAGCTTATCTCTCAACATGATCTGCTGTGAGGCCACTGTATTCAGAAGTGATGTGTGATCATGTCTCTGAATCCCTGCTGCACCGAAGATTCAAGTCAGCAGAACGCCGACAAGAGCAACAACACAGCGGGGGTTAACAGAGTCAGCTGACACGCATGGGTTTCATCACTATACAGCATTTCAGATTTTCTCATGTATTGTTGTGTGCACAGTGGCAGATAAAAAAAAAAAATCTTAGGTGTACGTTACTGGAAACAGGTTTTAGAAATAATTTCAAACATTTGCCGTCATTGATTGTTATTAAAACGTACCCAGGTTTTTACGAGTTAACATGTCGAAGACACGGCCAGGGGTTCCCACCACAATGTGAGGGGCTTCAGCCTGCAGCTTCTGGACTTCACTGCGAATGTTGGTCCCTCCGATACAGGCATAGCAATTGGCACCCATGTAGTCACCCAGGGCCAGCACTACCTTCTGAATCTAGTTAAAGAAGTAAGAAACAGTCTGTTGATGCATGTTTAACCATAAAAGTCAACATGGGCTGTATGATGGACTTTGTCTTGCTACAAATATTCATGATCTCTGTCGAAACTGGTTATAGCACAAAGTAAATGTTTGTCTAGCAAGGCACGTGTTTGATGGATGCTGTATTCAGATGAGGTGACGCATTAGCATATCCCTTGTTATGATCAAGAAAAGTATGGCCAATTTAATGCAACATGAAATCTTTATCTTTGAGATTGTGATTGAATGTTACCTGCTGAGCCAGCTCCCTGGTAGGAGCCAGGACCAGAGCCTGGGTGCATTTAAGCTCCACATCAATCTGCTGAAGGATGGAAATGGCAAAGGTGGCAGTCTTACCAGTGCCAGACTGGGCTTGGGCAATCACATCATAACCTAATGGGAGGGGTGTACACAGAACAGATTAAGTATTGTTGCAAGACAGGTGCTCTTCTCTGTAGCCCAATTTAACCGTCAATAAGTTGTACGGCCTAAACATCAACTACAAAACATGGAAACATTTAGTGTGACTTCTGGTACTCATCTAATAACTACTGTATATTATTTCAGTTAGCCAAAGAATTGGATCGATGATTATTAATATCACTGGCACAAGTGGCTATGTGATTGAATTCATAATGGTTAATGAACAACTTGTGCAGTACTTGCAATAAATAAATAAAACATTAACCACAATCACAAATTGAAAGCACTTGTCACAAAGAATTAGAGATGGATAAAACAGAAGGGTAGCATCAACTTACACTTGATACAAGGCATAATGGCTCTCTGCTGGATAGCGGAAGGCTTCTCAAATCCATAGGCATAAATTCCCCTAAGCAGAGCCTCGCACAGGTGCATGTCATCGAAACTGTCCACGATCTCATTCCAGTTGCTCTGCAGAGGTAACACAAAAATTAATCCTTCATTTGTAGGTTGTATTCAAATTCACGTGTTTATTTCTGATAGCTCGAGGGCATGAAGTGTGTGTTCAAGTGTGGGTGTGTCAGACTCACCTCAATGATTCCATCTGGCTCCATGCCCTCTGGGCCATTGTCTCTGAGAATGCCAAACAAAGAGTCATAGGGGTTAGTTTGATTGTTCGAGCTCACTACTGAAACCACACATAAACAAAACTGCAATTACGTCCGGGAATGGTGGAACCACAATATACTGTTCGCAGGATGAAACAGCGGTGGCTAAAATTCAGCTTCTATTCCCTTTACATCTCAACCTTTTATTGACAAAGTCACCATAATCATTTGGTAATTTCATTATCATATTCTCAAACAAGGCACGAGAACCCACGTTAGGAATCGCCATCAGCGTTCTGGAAAGTAAACGCCTTTCCTGAAGTCCGCCATTTCTATTACTTCCATTCAAGATGGTCGATTCTCCGCCGAAGGCCGAAATCGTTGAAAACGACTAATGTTCACAAATCGCCTCATGGAAAAACGTCGGCTATCGTCCAGACTGCTACCTGTACGTTATTCAACACCGACTAATCGTGGATGGCGAATTTAAAATGTGGCTTTCACACAAAGTGTGGGCAAATAATTAAGAACCGTTCGCATCAGCTAGCATTAGCTCCAAACCGTTAAAGCCACTGCTAGCAGGCCCGGCTCGCTTTTACGTGGCATTTATTCGCCTCGTCTAGTCAATGAAATCCATTATAGCGAGTAAACCGCGTCAAACCCCCCTTTGTTTCCCGGTGCTAGCACTCAACAGACACACGGCAGCGTACGGGTAATGGCCTCCCCTGGTGCTCCGCGGCCTACGCTACCGGCATTGTCAGAGCGGCCGCCTCGACCATGTGCGCCGGCCGTACAAGAAGGGCAAATATCTCCACATCGAGATGGCGATCATCCCTCCATTCACACCGGGACCGTGCAGCTCCGATGTGTGTTTCCATTGAGCTTGAGACAAACAATGACGGAGCCGATGAAAAAAGACGGACATCGTTGAGGCCTAGAACAAGCTCAATCACGTGCTACCCAAGGCGCCGGCTGCCATTTCATCCTTTCATAACGCTACGATCGGGGCCGTTACCACCCCCGCCTTTTGGAATCAACGGGTTTATACCGCGCTATTACGGAATATAGCGTAGGAAGCAACATACGTGTGCTCTGAATTTAAAATACTACGGTCTCCGACCGAGCGCCCCGGAGCGAGGAGCGGTTAAATGCGAACGTTGGCGACTGAGACCTTGGTCGGAGGCCTTCGCGTTAGTCGAGCGAAGAACCGCCATAACGAATCTCTTATTGTCTCGATCACAAAAAGGTCTCGATGATAAAAAAGCGCAACACACGACCGCTAACAAGTGAAACCCCTTCGGAAACAGCGCGGCGGATCACGTATGTAAAAGTCTCTTACCTATGTTCACAATCAGCCGACATTATTCCAAAGAAAGAAATTGCGGCAGAAATGTCTTATATACCTTGACAACACACAAAGACGCTCTCTCATTGCAACACACGGCCGTCATTTAGCGCTAGTCCCGCCTAGAAAGACTTACGATTGGCCGATTGTTACGGAAGTAGGCGGGTCAAAACGCATCATTCGTGTAGAATTATTTCACTGGTAGCATGGCGTAAGGGCGGAGTTAACATTTTATAAGAGAATAGGGCAAGATGTAGCTAAGTCCCTCTCAGCCGGGCTGCCCCGGGACTCTATTTTCAACCCCCCCCACATCGGTTCAGACATCAGCGCGGACAAAGGCCAGATTGCCCAGGGTGCATTTCTGCACTGGGTTCCTGTGAACGGCGTTTCACGTTGTAGCAAATTAGAGAATGGAAAATTACAGCAGGCACATTTAACATCAAGTGATGTAACGATGAGTCACACTCACAGACCGTGTCGCACTGTTGTCATTTCCCATTACACAGTTGCTGCAGACAGGAACTCATTGAAACCACATGAAAGGTCAAATTGTGAAGTGCTGATAAACTCCACTAATGAAATCCAAAACTAAGTCAGAAATAAGAAAACACTACAACTCAGAAAAAGACTGTGTCAGCCATTACGATCGAAGAAGTACCAAAGTCCTTTCCATCTTTAATAATGTTTGGAAATAATGTTTCGGACATGAAGGTCTAATTTATTGACTAACATCAGATCTTATCTACATCTGTGTCTGTGATATCAGATGTCACAGGTAACCGATGAGCAATTTGTTTGTGTGTGTAACTGCCCTTTCTTTATGTTTTTTGTTCCCCCTTTACCTCCTCAAATCTTTGTTGAACAAGAAAGGGTTGGAACTAATGTCCAGATTAGGTGCTTGGAAGGGCTACCCTGGTAATAGCCTGTTAATTTACTTTCCAATCCCACTGTCTACAAGATGTTAAATGTTACTCCATAATATCCTTACCCCTCAAGCCTGCCAGTTTCTCTTTTTACATTTGGTGGGAAAAATCTTTCTGAGAGTCAGTTTCTGACTGCTATACAGGTAAAATACTAACCTCAGATGAGTCATTTACTTTTTTTTAAAACTCAGCAGAGAAAGTTTGCGTAAGAACAAAATAAGTTCTTAATTTCCTAATAAAAGAAGTTGAGATATTCTACAGAATTTTCAGTTTTCAAAGACATTTTCCTATTTTCTCAGTTATTCTATTTATGTTTACAGTTCTGGGTTTTAAACAGTTTATTATAATGACTGACACCAGTATTAAAATGGTAAATGGTCTGTATTTATATCGAGCTTTTCTAGTCTTGATGACCACTCAAAGTGCTTTACAGTATAGTTTGCCATTCACCCATTCATACAGTGCATCTATCAGCAGCACTTTTTTTTTGTTCTATGGGGCAATTTGGGGTTCAGCATCTTGCCCAAGGACACTTTGACAGATGGGAAGACTGAGTATTGAGCTGCTGACCTTCTGATTGGAGGGTGCCCGCTCTACCCCTCAGCCACAGCCACCCAAGACATGGTCTTGTTTCTGAATTGTATCAGCTCAGAACTAAAGCTCTAAAATAGATCTGTCCTGCTGGCAGATATCACATGCATACATAAAACCATCCCCAATGTCCATCTATTCTGATCAGAGGATCACATGTTTTTTCTTTCTCATGCAGGACTTTACTGGTGTTGGGTCAAAGTTTCCTCATCAAGATGTTTCCCCTAACCTTTTACCTAGGCCCTAATGTTAAGTGAAGTCTATTGAATATATCAAAAAGCATAGCTATAACTATTCAGCATAAATTACAAATTTTTGCCATCTTCCAAAACATTTGTCTTGATGAACTTTTAAATTGTGGGTCACATTGGATCGCTGATGGCTCAGTGATGCACTTAGAGAGCCTTGCCTCCACTCTCTGTTCATATGCACTTGGTGACATTAATTTCAGATGCACACCACGTCACCACCAAATTCCCAATTTGAATATAGTTGCATGGCTTTGTTGCATCTTATCATCCCCTCTGTTCTCCTCCCCCTTATACAGTTGTTTCTCTTTTATGTCGAACTATAATAAATACAGAAAATGTCCAGCTCCTTTACTACTGTAAAGGCAACATTATACATTCAACATACTCCATGGAAAAGCTCACAAGCAACAAAGAGTGAGCAACCTTTAGTATATATTTAATTATATCTTGCTGGGTACAATTTAGTAAACAGTGCATCATATTTGTAAATTAATTATGTTTTTAAATAAATCAAATATCCCAATTGTGTACGTCCGATACAACATGCAGTTAGCATGTAACCAGCATATACCCATTCAGTAAAAATGCACACACATCTCGTTTGCCACGTATTTTAATTTTTAGCAACCATAATGCATTGTAGAAGATATATAAAACTGTCATCTCTGTTGCATCAACTCCTGTTTGAAAAAAAGACAAAAAAACAAACCAGAACACAGCTATCAACAAATTTGTCTTTCGTTACAAAAAGAAGAGGAGGACACTGTAACTCCAATGTGGACATGCTTCATCTATTGTGTAGCTGTCATGGTCCACACCAAAATGGCTCTTGAACTTTCAAAGACATACTAGCATGAGGATCTCTTCTGTACCTACACCGAAACAACACAAATTTGTAGTCCTCCTTTTAACACCATTTCTTTAAAGCAATAAGCATATCAACACATTTACTGACAGAGATAAATCACAGAAAAAGATAAACGCTATGTAAAGCTACCCCTTCTTTAGGCCAATGTCAGTCTGACTTGTTTGGGGGGGGGTGATCAACAGATGCAGATCTAATCTCCCAGGTGAAGATGTTCCACTTGTATGACTGGGAATAAAGATGGTGGCTGAGGAGGTTTCTGGCACAAGGAGTCAATATGTAACGTGTTTGAGGATTATGTTTAACTACTGGTTTCCCTCAGAAAAAAATGCACCAGGAGAGCTTGTTATGCCATTTTCTGACATCAACATGGTTCTATTTTCATGATCAATTTATATCCATCTTAACATCTTCTAGTAAAATTAATAAGCAAATATTATACGTTGGAAATGTCACGTTGCACTACAGTGGCAAACATTATGTGCTGACTAGAGTGCATCATCAACATAACATTGACTGTAGCATGGGGGAGTGTATTTCTACTTTTTCTTCAAAAACGTTGGATCAGAGTTTCACACTGAACACTTGGAATGGAACACAATTTGATGTATGGAGTGGATGGATGGAAGGCACAAAAATCCACTGGTACTACTTAACAACAAGCGTACACAGACCGGTTCAAATTATCTTCGCACCACCTCCGCACTTACTATTCAGGTACTTCCGTTTAAGTAGCAGTCAGACTAAGTGTGATCCAGGCCTTCATCTGGGCTTGATTCTTTAGAAATCCAACCAAGATCTGTTTTATGCTCCCATTCCTGAAAAATAGATATGGTCTAAAATAAGATGGAAGGTGAGCACATTTCCAAACCGGAAGCTAGTCTTGGCCTCTGTCAACCATAAAGGAATAACCATGGACAATGAAATCAGAGGGTTCCAAGGGGGGAGAGAGGGAAGCAAAGGGAGACAAAAAAGCAAAACAATAACATCACCTACAGTAGAAGAAATTTCTCTGGATATTGGCAGAGAAAAATAAAGTTTTTCAAAAGTTTGTCTTTCTCCAGTCAATCATTTGCTCCCCTTGTCCTCTTCTTGTTTTATCATTGTCCCTCCATCTTGTTGGGGTTAAGGGTGGGAGCATGTGGACATGGTGGGCTTGGTTTGGGGGGGTTGGTCACAGAATGAGCTTGCAGTGACATAGTTCTTTGTACATTTGCCTCCTCAGCCGTGGCATGTCCTGTTGGCCAAAGCTGAATGGCTGCCCTAGTGCCAGACACTTGCAGTACTGCAGGGCGGTGGAGGGTATATGAAGGGGGGGGAAAAACAAGTTACAGGCCTGCAGATTAACAGATTAACAACATCACACTGTGTAAGTGCATTTACACCACATGCAACATCAGCCAGTAGGTGTGTGTGTTCCTCCAGTGCTGAGCGCCCAGCTACAGAAACATGTCAGAGTCAACAACCTTTCAGAAGCCAGATCAATCAGCACAGGTGCCCTACAAGGTTTTGTCAGCTCTTGCCCTCTGGCAGACGATAAACTCAATCAATTTTTGTTCGTCATTTGTTCCTACTCCCATTGAACATTTTAATAACCCTGCTTGATGATGCTGGGATTGTGCAATAGTTTTATGGGGTTTTATCATGGGATGGTGCAATATGTGCTACGTGCAATGTGTGGTTCTATGGGGTGTGTGCAAAAACTTTTTTTTTTAACATTTTATGTGCATTAAAATGTTGTGATTGACATAGTTGGTGCTTCTATGTAACTTGTTTTGTAAATATGGAAGCATATGTTCACAGCATTTGAGTGCAAAACAAATTTAACTCCTGGGACAATAAAGTTTATCTTATCGTACTTCCTCAGTTAGGGGTTGGCTGAGTTAACCAAACACACCCTATTCATTTCAAAGCCATAGCCTCTGTAGTCTTTCTAATGCTCCCACAGTGGATAGACAAATGAAACTGAGACTGCATATGGGCCTGAATCAAGACTGAGATACTGATGAAATAAACTGTGAATCCCCTAACATGGAATTAATGTGAGTTTAATGCCACAAAATAAAATTCAATACAGTTTTATTTGTATAGCGCCACATCATAATATGCATTATCTCAAGGCACGCTACATAGAAGGTCAAGACCTAAAAAAAAAAGATTTCACATAAATCCGCATGTGTTAATAGGGGTTAAATGAAAAACTCACCTGTAGCACAAAAGCCCCACAGTCACTGTCATTGTTCTGACGACCCACATTCTACAAAATACAATCGTTAATGTTAGAAAACCACAGCACAGATGCCACACTAATAATATGAACTATGACTATCAGCATCCACAGCCTATGTCACCCACAAAGATCACCAATTTTTTTAATTCATTCTTTAGAGGGCTTTGTGTAATGAGAAACCTCAATCTGTGTTGAGTTAGGACAAAAATAAAACTAACAAAGCATCTCACCATTTTAAAAAAGCCTTTCCA